CCCACCCCTCTTTTTTGGTACTGCTCTGTGACGTCCCTACAGTACATGATCTCCGATCTGTTCCCTGTGTCCTTCAATGAACGGGAGAGAAAATAGGATTTTGGTACTCACCGTAAAATCCTTTTCTCTCCGTTCATTGAAGGACACAGGGCCCGCCCCTCTATGTGGGTGTGTACTCCTTTACTGCTTGTTACTAAACTGGAGACTTCTCAGTAGGTGGGGGGTTTGGCCACCGGCAGGGGCCGCCCCTAGGCTGTAATTGGTCTTTAGTTTTTTTGTGCCTAGCGTCCTTCTCCTGCAGGTGGCGATATTACCCTACAGTACATGATCTCCGATCTGTTCCCTGTGTCCTTCAATGAACGGAGAGAAAAGGATTTTACGGTGAGTACCAAAATCCTATTTTATTACAATAGCGATGTTTGTTTTTCTAAATTCCAATTGTAGTATAGTTTTATTACCTATTGATCCTGTTAATAGAAATATTTTTTTACTTCCTTTAACAGGGTGTTGTATCTGCAGTCAAATTACATAGTAGTGTTCTCACCCCATGGGCAAGGTCGTTTTTGATAGGCTTTATTTGTTTGTTGCTTAAGTTCGATTTCAGCAGCTACAGCAAGTTTTTTTTTCTTTAAGGAAAACATTGAAACCATATGAATAAAAGCTGATCATTGTAAGCACCCCTGTCAGTGACGAATTACATTGGTTTGGTCCAACGTCTCTAAGTGACACTATTGTCAGACAGATTGATTTTCTAAAAGAAGTAGAAAAATAATGTATCGATTTGCAAGACCAATTGCTGATGACACTATGGGAAACTATGCTGCTGAATACAGGGGCAATCAGTATCACATAATCATACAATGATCCTTTCACTGACAGCTACAAGATGCTACTCCATAGGGTGCCATTTGTTTCACCTGTTTAGCGATCAATTGATACTACTAGGAATTCATTGCTAGATGTTTAACATCAGGTATAGGTTACTATAAATCTTCTGTGTAGCGCCAGCCTCATGTTGTGAGTGCCCACAAGTGATTAAACCAATAGTAGAGAGGTTAAAATTGCTTGTAAACTCTTTGCAAAATATCTTAATTTTAAACATCCACATCCAATTGTTTTATCATTGCCCTTCACTTTTTATTATAAATGGGAGCCTTTATTAATATTACTGAGATGAAGATCAAATGTTTGGGACTATTTAATTCAAAAAGCCAGAAAGTCAGAAAATTCCAAAGGATTCTACAACTTTTTCTCACAAAAGTACACAGATGATCTGGAGGAGATTTTTTTATTGTTTTGCTTTAAACTGTGTGATTGTAAAATGCTTTAGCATGATTTAGACTTCACTCAGATCGATATAGCAAATCCAATGCGGTTATTACGTCTGTCGAATTCAGTGTAATACTGTCCTATGAATGTTGCTCCAAAAATCCACATAGGTCCAGTTGGAGGGGGAATGTCCAAACCCATAAATGCAACGTAGCACACTTCCTCCCCAAAATGTGATTGCTGAAAGGAAAAAAGAAGATAAAGGTTCACCAAACACTTATCCACTTGAGCATCTGCACCTGTAATAAGCTCCAGAACCATTGTTACATTTCAGCTGCAGGTTTATTGATTAATCTCTGACAAAATGAATGACATGAAAAAAGTTTGCAGTGTGAAAAAGAAAGCTAAAAAATAATGGCTATGGGGAGAAGAGGAGGAAGACATTATACTTAGCTAATTATGGTTTACTTTAGAAAATTACATAAAGCCACAAAACATAACATATCGGCAAAAAATGGCACTTTTGGGAAAGTGCCGAAAGTGCCATCTATCGGCTGAAATTGCAGTGCATGCCTGGTTTCTCTCCTCTCCACTGGGCGCTGCTCTGTGTCCCCTCTGACATAGCGGAGCGTCCAGCGGGGTGGAGAAAAACTATGACAGAAGGCCAGGCGATGTGGGAGAGCGATGTGAGCGGCCGGCTTGAATGGGCCCTGAAACAAACTTTTAGTGATAGGTGTCTCTGTCTAGTGGTTATGAAAAGTGATGAGTGAACTTGGATTTGGTTTGCAGGTACTTTCAACAAATACGGCAAAGAGTTTGCCAGTTTTGGACTTTAATATGAACCCTATTGAAGCCAATGAAGGTAAATCTTGAAAATCAATTCCTAATGGATTGTCAAACAAAGGGCATAGGGAGCTGGCCGCTGCCCCAGGGGACATTTACCAAGGCCAAACTATTTTCTAAAAATACAGTTCTGCAGAGAGATGGCCCCCATTTTATGCAAGTTTGAGGGCAACATGACATAAGCACCATTTAAAAAAAAAAAAAAATTCTACAGAGATGGCTTTATGCATGATGACAACAGGTGATTGCCTAATTTTATTAGCGGCAATGCCATTAGGTGGATTGAAGATGTACTACTTTGGTGCATATGACACTGTGGCATTTCACTAATGCAACTTAAAAGGTGAAACTAATATATGAGATAGACTCATTACATGCAAAGCAAGATAGTTCAAGCCGTGATTTGTCATAATTGTGATGATTATGGCTTACAGCTCATGAAAACCCCAAGAACCCCAAATCCACAATCTCAGAAAATGAGAATATTACATGCAATCAATAAAACAAGGATTGTACATAGAACAATATCGGACCTCTGAAAAGTACAAGCATGCATATGTACTCAGTACTTGGTTTGGGCCCCTTTTGCAGCAATTACTTTTGCACGATATTCTAATTATTCGAGTTTCACCTGTATGCTGCTGACCCCAAAAAGAAAAAAAAAAACTTAGAAAAAGAAAAAAAATTATGTATTCCTGCAAAAACAAACCTTAACTCCAAACACTAACCCATGAAACAACAGAACCCAAATCCAATTTATTTTTTTAGATTTTTGTTGATGTAACAAAATTTAAAAAAAATATCCCCAAAAAAGGTGGGACCAGCAGTAGCTAAACAGCAACAGGACTTGGTTGCTGACACAGACAAAAAAAAAGTATTCCTAAAAAGGATTGTTGGGTCTAGTCACTGAATGCGCACAGTCCCACCAGAATGCAATTCAAAGTAATGGAGCACTGAGGTGAATAAAGGGTGATACACTGCAATTCTCTCACTAACTGCTCTCACTAAGGCTGGGTTCACACCTAGGCGGATTGAATATGCATGTTTTTCGCGCGTTTTTTTAACCGCGATTCGTGGGGAAAAAACGCGCGAAAAACGCGCGTTTCCGAGGGATACTTGGCTGTATCCCAATAGAACCGCCCGACCACAACGCCCCAAAGAAGTACATGTACTTCTTTGGGCGTAGGGCGGTTTCCCGCATGGGAACCATGCACATTGAAAATAATGGCATTTCCCTGTTTGAGCGTTTTTCCGCGAGTACGAAAGCGCAGAAAAACGCCTAGGTGTGAACCCAGCCTAACTCCAGCACACACTGACAAACTGATGCTGGGAGATCTGACATTTATAGAGAGGGAGCTGGCACATTTTTAAAACCCTATTATTGACCATAATTTTTCACCACACCAGAGTTCACAGGTCAGCCAAAGCATTATGAGGTTAGCCTTTGGTGCCTGGAAAACACAAATCGCATCCATAAATCATACTGCAATAATACAAAAAAAATCAGTTAGGAAGTCAAAAATATATTTGTGGTTTTAGCATCAACTTAAAAACTGACATTATAAGTAGATATGAAAGTATTACACATCATTCACATACCCTTAAGACGTATGTTGAACCTTTCAGTGGGTATTCCTGATCTCCAATATGAAAGGAGATGTCAGGAAGCTGAGAAATTTTATCACAATCTACTACATACTGAGAAAGAGAAAGAGACATGTAATAATGTCAGTAAAACAAAACAAGAATAGAAACCCCAAAATACCTAAATTACTGCACCTATTAACTGTAATAAAATGCCACATATAAGATTCCTTTTTTATTTATTTAATGATGGGAAAAAATTAAATGTTAGAAAATATATTAATAGTTTCTGCTATGTGCAGATGTATTTCAAGTGACACTATACTCAGAAGCTAAATCTTAAAAATACATTCATGCACCGTAACTAACTTATTTGTGTATCACTCAGCTGTAGATCCTCCAATTGGTGCTGACACTGTCCTTCCTTCGGGAGGGTGGCTACTTTTCTTCCCCATGGTCCCTGTGTGTGTGTTGTAAAATAGCCACCGCTCCAAGCTCACTCCTGTGATAGACTACAATCTCAATACAAATTAGTAAACTAAACCTTCGATTAGTTGCTGTATTTCTTTAAGGGGGATGAACAGCAAAAGGTAAGGCTGGGTTCACACCTAGGCGTATTGAATATGCGCGTTTTTCGCGCGGTTTTACCGCGATTCACGGTTAAAAAAAAAAAACACGCGACAAACGCGCGTTTCCGTGGGCTACTTGGCTGTATCCCAATGGAAACGCGAGACCAAAACGCCCCAAAGAAGTACATGTACTTCTTTGGGGCGTAGGCCGTTTTGTATCGCATTCGGACGGGCGGAAATACGGCAAGGTGTGAACCAGACCCATTGAATACAATGGGATTTAGATTTTTGAGCGTTTTGTAGAGCGTTCGCCGAGCGTTGAACGCGCTAAAAAACGTTCAGGTGTGAACCAGCCCTAAATATCTTAAAGTGGAACTTGCACCACTACATTCATGTCTGCTGTTAATATAGTTTAGATTGAGCTTTTAAATATGGTCTAGGTATGTTATAAAAAGTGTTGAGTTTATCTGTGTTTGTCAAATATTGAAGTTATGTAGGGTGCCCTGCAGACTCCTTCTCTGTAGCACTGAAGAATGAAGACTTGAAAGGCAGGTGATGTCACTCAGACTTCATAAATTATTTATTTTCCATCAGAAGTTATTTTCTCCACTACACAAGATCTTTCTGTGTGGACTTAAAGGGTTATTAAACCCTCATTGCTTTTTGCATGTATCTACTGCCGGCAAGTAGTAGATAAATGCAAAATGGTTTAAAAAAAAAAAACTTTCTCAAAGGGTTAATACTTACCCTCCACCGCACACTCCCGTCCCAACATCTGAAAATTTCTCGGGCGGCCGCAAAGACTCTTGGGGTGCATGCGCACTTCAGATGTTCGGCCGGGAGACGAGGAGAGACATAAGGTAAGTCTATGTAGCAGTGTGCACCCACACAGACTCCGTGGGACATCAGAGGAGAGGAGGACAGATGAGTCAGCGCTGGATCAGAGACCCACACCAGCGCTGGAGGAACAGCTAAACACTACAGGAAAGAAGAAGATGATCGGATTAAGAGGCATCATTTAAGGTGAGTTCTTACATTAGCAGTTAGCTATAGAGGAATACAACAAATCCCAGCAATACATTTATACAGCAAGAGGGGGGGGGGGGGGGGGGGGGGGGGACTTTTGCCCTTAAAGGAGAACTCTGGGGTAAGTGTTTTTCCCCATAGTTCTCCTAAGAGTCACGGGAGGACATAAAATAGCATCCTTCCGTGACCCAAAGCTCAGTATACCGTGAGCTACAGCTCGTGGTATACTAAAACCGCCGCAGCCGGGATGAATCCCGACATTACCATCGAGATCCACCCAGCTGCGTGATTGATAGCTGGCTCTGCCTATCTAGAGGCAGAGCCAGCTGTACCTGCCCCCTCCCCCAAGTGACAGTCACGGCTCTCTGCAGGGAGATGATCGGAAAGTGAGCGAGCGACGGTATACGTTCACTCACTTCCCGATGTATTGAGCTGACGTGTGACAGTTTCATTGTCACACGTTGGCTCGAATTATGAGGTTGAGTGAAAAGCACTCACCTCATAGTTCTCCTCTAATGTCACTTAGCTCCAGCTGTCCAAAGACATTGGGCTTCTGATCGTGTCCACCTGAAAAACTGACAGGCAGGCGTGCCTGATTCAAAAGCCTGTATAAAAGGGCTCTTAGCAAGAAGGCCTCGGACAAGAATCCAGTCTCAGAGTGTGTCCTCCCAACATGCCTTAAAGGAGAACTATGCGATGAGTGATTTCCACTCACCTCATAATTCTAGCCGACCTATGACTCAGTAGATTGGGAGGTGAGCGAACAGATACCGGCGTTCGCTCACCTCTCGATCCTGCCACCGCTCCAAGCTTGCTCCCGTAATGGACTTCTACTAATTTGTATTGAGATTTTAGTCCATTACGCGAGCTTGGAGGCTACTTTACAACACACACAGGGACCATGGGGAACAAAAGTAGCCACCCTCCAGAAGGAAGGACAGTGTCAGCATGAATTCAGAGATGATTTGAGGATCTACACCTTATTGATGAACAAATAAGATACATTTTTGTTAATAGTGAGGGTACTTGAATGTATTTTTAAGGCTTAACTCCTGAGTTTAGTGTCACTGTAAAGGAACTCTAGACCAAACATGGATGAAATAGTCCAAATTACTTATTCATTGTTGGTAAATAGAACATATAAAAACATCCAACGCGTTTCGGGGACAAAACCACTCCCCCTCCTTCATCAGGACTCGACACAGAATAAACTTAGAAAATAGTAACTCCACAGATCTAAATTAGAACAGGTATTAAAGAAGAATTCCAAGCAGGCAGAACTTAACCCTATCAGTGGGGCTACCCCTGCACTGCAAGGGTTAAGTGCTCATTTTGGTCTAGGGTGTAAAATAAAAAAACATATACTCACCCGAACCTCGGTCCTGTGGCAGTGACTTCCCAGCTCTCTACCCCCCTGCTCCGGCTGTGGTATGTCCCACAGCTTCCTCACATACAGTATAATACAAGCCAATGGACTTGTATAACACATAATGATGCCAGCGGGGCTTAGACCGATCTTTAAATAAAGGCTAGGTACGTTGTATACAGTATTAATGCTAGTAGTACTTTAAATGTGAAGAAAAAAAATGCTGTATGGTAAAATAGCTGAAACCAATTTGTATAGCAGGTTAATACTGATTACCTCTCCTTCAGGCAGCTGTGTGGCTCCAATTGCTTTCATAAGGACAGACACAGAACTAGCTGGCCCAGTAATGTAAGCTGCTCCTGTATCTACAGCTACTGTGCACTCTTCTTTGCAGAGCAGAAACTCTGTACCGGCTGAAACTCTGTTGACATAAAAGCATACACAAGTTCTCAATCATTTTGAACATGGCCTAAATAAAAGCACCCGTTTGCAGTAAAACTGAGACATTATACTAATGAACTTGTTAATTCTCTGATTATTTTTCGTTATGGCTTTTTAGACCACTTTTTGTCTTTTTGTCTAATTTTCATGACCTCATTTGTTTGCTTTGTCTCTTATATAGGGAAATGCAGTCTGGGGAGATAGGTGAAGCAGAGCCTCACCTGCCATTATGGAAGAAAAAGCTGTCAGCTTCAATTCTGAAGCTGACAGCTTTATCTCCATTCAGATCAGCTTCTATCAGGTTACACAGTGAGGAAAGCCTCCCTGCTGTGTAACCTGTCATGGATGGAGCGCCACCTGTTAATTACAAGCGACGCAATACATCTGTATTGCTCTATGCTTCCCCACTGCTGTGTGTAACCTAACACAGTCAGAGGTCAGAGCTACAACAAGCCTCTGACTTGGAGTCAAAGGCTTGGGATGTGTGGATGGTTTGGACCAATGGCAAAGCGCGATTGGTCAAAGTCATCCAATTAAAAAAAAGAAGAAAGAAAAAAAAAAACACTGACGCCATCCTCCTCCCTGTCTTCTCCCTCCCTCTTTGTACACCTTCCATGCAGAGTGGTTTCCCCTCCCACCTCACAGGCTCAGAGTCACAGATACTGCTCTGGGAAGTGCCTCACCTGCCATTGACCTCGCCACACATCCCTGATGTGTACCACCTCAATACCTTTTAAATCTAAGGTCATGGCTCAGTACACCACACAGAGAAAATTATGTTTGTTTTCCCATATACTGTATATTGTAGACATGTGCGATTTGTTTTATCCCGAATCAAAATTCTTGCGAATTTTCCAAAATTTGGACATTCGGACACATGCGAATTTCTGAATCCCAATGCACCCAAATGTGTCCGAATCTGAATTTTCATTTCCGAAATGTCTGATCCCGTCCGAATTTTGTTTAAAACCGAAATTGAATCGGACATGTGACTTTTCTGGCCAATCAGATGTGTTTGTTGGTTTAACCTCTTGCCGTCCGCCCGTAAGAAAAAACGGACGGACGGCACTGCAGCATTTGCGGGTTCCCGTCTCCAGACGGCAATTTTTTTCTGCTCGCGCACGCCCCCTAGCGGGCACGCACGGGCAGAAAAGACCCGACCATTGCACACACCCGTTACCGGGTGTTTCACATATAGGCGATTAGCGGCTCCATAGCCCGCCGATCGTCTATATGTGCTCGTTCGCGGCCGCCGGCGCCGGTTTCCCCCCCCCTGACCCCTCACCTTGAATCCCGGGATCCGCTGCCCCGTCTGCGGCCCGGGATCGGCTCGGAGGGCGTCAGGAGGAGGAGGACGGGACATCAGCTCCTTGCTGATCTCCCTCCGGGCTGTGAATGCAGAAGTGATGTGTATTACATCACTTCCGCATTCACCTGTCAGTCATCTGGCTGCTATAGCCAGAGAGAAGAAGCTGATGAAGCAGATCTCTGCTTCATCAGCTTCTTTTGGGGTCCACAGGTGACATTAGGGGTCCTAGAGACCCCTAATGTCTCCATAAAGAGGACCTGTCAGTGTGCCTTTGCTATTATATAGGGGGATTGTTATCCCCCTATATAATAGCAATAACAATAAGTGCAAAAAAATAAATATAAATAAAAAAAAATAAAAGTAACACATAAAAAAGTAAAATAAAATAAAAGTCACATATAAAAAAAGGGGAAAAAACCCCCCCAAAATGTTTAACTCCCCCACCCCCACGTTTACGCGCCTATAAACGTAAATACGCGTCCGGTGCCCCAGCGCGCAAAAATTACAATTGCGCTACACATGTTACATATCGCCGCGAACGTCGCAGTGAGAGCAATCATTTTAGGGCCATCAATCACTGATAACACTAAACTGATGAGCGGTAACAGCTTTTAAAGCGTCGCCTATGGCCAATTTTGGGTATTATCGTTTTTTGAGGTTTCGCGCGCGCACGCAATTTTAAGGCTTGACATGTTTAGTGTCTTTTTACCCGACGTGACCCCATCTTTTATATTTTACCAAAAAATTGGGTAATAATAAATGTTTTATCATTTAATATAGGGGAAACTGTTTTTTTTTTTTAAATTTCGGTAATTTTTCCTTAATATAGTAAAAAAATAAAACCCCCAGTGGTGAATAAATACCACCAAAAGAAAGCTCTATCTGTCCCCAAAAAAGGGTATAAAATTCATTTCAGTACAGCGCTGCATGACGGAATAAATGTCAGTCAAAGTACCGCAGCGCTGAATACTGAAAAATGGCCTGGATGGGAAGGGGGTTTAACACCGCGGATGTAAACTGGTTAATGCATCCAAATAGGTCTGAGTCCGAATTCTGGGAGACTCAGTTTTAGTTTTATGTACATATGGCTCCCAATGTTGCCACAACGAATATTCGTTCATACTACAGAATACTCATTAAATATACATAATACTAAAAATTATGCTCCACGACCCAAATGGAGTCTGAATTTCCAAATAGCATTTGGGAGCTCCCAAATGTAATTTGGGTCTGGAAGCCAAGTATCTGTGGAAATCTGGATTTGAGGGATCCAGCATGGAGGTCTCTGGTGCCCAGAGGGCCATGGGCAGCACATAGAGCCAGCAAGCATGATTGCGTCAAAGCCATATAAGACCTAATAACTGAGTTCAATTGAGTTAGCAATTTGAGATAATGGGACAACTGGGAGTATTCCAGCCAGGCTGTATGGCAGTTATGGCACAATGGAAGCAACTGTGATAATGGTGGAAGATTCCATATTTGCATGATTTGATAATTGCGGTATTTTCCGATTTATGCCATTTGAGGAAGTAGGGGTGATGCATAGCTGGAGGAAACACAGGACTTCCAAACCAGGTATTCATATGATTAGGATAAGACAAAAGGAAACCCCAAGATAAATACATGTTTCCGAATATGTAAAGCAGATTGTACCATAAGTGGTAGGGTAGGTTTGATTAGGTGAGAGGCTGAGGGTATCCCCTAGGGTTTAATTATAACATTGTCCTCCAGAGTTTAGTGTTTTTGTTGTGGAAGCAATCTATGACTTTAATGAGAAAAGTGACATATAAAAGAAGGTTGTTGGCATGTAAGGACAACTTGTAAAAGTGGTCCATAACCTGGATCACATAGATATTTGTATTGTTACATATTGCAACAGGTCAGTGCTCCATAGTGAGAATTAGAACAGCAGGGACAGAGGGCATCCCTGTCAGAGGTTATTATGTATCTTAATGGGGTATGATAGAATTCCATTTATCTACATTTTAGCAGAAGGATAATGGTAGTGTGCCATGATCTTTTGGAGGAGGTTGGGACCTAGGCCAATCTGAGATAGGGTCGATTGGTAAATTTAATCAATGATGTTGTTTTAAGAGTATTGTTTCAAGCTTCGTTACCAGATGTAAAGCCCACTTGAACTGGGTGAATAAAAATGGGGATAAAAAGTTTAATCCTTGGAGCAATACATTTTGAATAGAGAAGAATATCGATATTTGTTAGAGATATGTGGAGATTTGGGTTGGGCTCTATGTCACGTTCGACTAGAACACTGCTAGTTTGTGTGTTTGCCGAACACACGAACTATAAGGGCGTTCGACGGTCTGTTCGACCACTGAACACCCCACAGGGCAATGCACCTTGTAAAGCCCTAATTAGCTAGAGGCTTGCACGTGACCCATTATTTCTATTTATTTTTTATTTAGTTGAGTCATCGTCGTGGACAACGCTGGACGTTGTGATTGGATTACACCGGTGGATCAATTTTTGGGGTTTTTAATAAAAATTAAAAGACTTGTCAAAAACATGTTATATTAAAGGGGTACCCTGGTGTGAATAAGCCCCCCCCCGACCGAAGACCCCAACAACCAACGCCTCGGGGGCTTGTGGGGAAGAGGCCCTTGTCCACATCGGCAAGGGGACAAGGTGCTTTTTCAGGGGCGACCCTGGAAAAGCACCCTCCCAGTGCCGAAGGCATGTGGCCTGGTATGGGAGGGAGGGGGCGTTCACTCACCCCTCCCCCCTTTCCGGCCCTACCTTTGTGGTCCCTCTCTGGGGTTTTAAAGTTTATCAAAATAAATAAGTCCAGAGAATAGGGGCCATGGTTTGTAAACTAATTTTGTTGTGTTTTGGGGGGTGGTTATTTTATATACATATAACTGTATCCCTCATCCTATAATTCAAAAGTTATCACTAAAGATTTTACCCACCCCTTCATTTGGATCTGCCAAAATCCTTGCTTCTTCAGACTGAAGTAATGGAATGTACCAGAGTAGTACGAGGGATCTGAGCCACCAAAGAAAATCTGTCCTCCAGGGCTTGACTCAGCATCTCTGATTGTAAAGAAAAATATACATTTCAGTTTGGTGTAAATGCTAAACAATTGAATAATCAGTTGTTGTTTTTTGTTTGTTTTGTTTTTTACATGTTTTAGGCTTTCCAGAGGTTTAAGAGCATTATTAAAGGGTATTGTGTTTTTTACAAAGTGTATGTGCCAGACATATAAAGAGAGAAAGAACCCATTACACCGTTTTAATCATGTTCAACATATTATGCCTGCAATAAAAGTTATTCTATTACAAAAAAAACTTTTTTCATAATATCAGTAAGATAACTAGACAAATGTGAAGAGTTCCTGCCTTTACTGTACTTCCTGGAAAACATTAAAATGTAACAGATGTTAGTTAGTACATTAGATGACTTTGCATTAACCTAATGCTGAACTTCAGTCTTACCCCCCTCCCCACCACTAACACACACTTGTAGCAAGTCCTCTCCTGTGTAGAAACTGATTACTTTCAATGGTCTGCAAACTTGCAACTCCATGATATAACCATTTAAAGCTGTGGCAGCTATCTTAAGCCTGCCTTCTTTTTCTGTCTGAATGACTTGAATCATCATCAGTCCTCTCTCCTCCTGATCCATAGTGTTGTTGGCCAACCTCTTACAGTTATTAGTTTCCTGTGATCAATAATTTTTGCTGTTAGTCAGGTGTGAACATGTTCTTTAGGGCCAGTGTATGTGCCTATACTTTTCTTTCCGAACATTATAAGAAAGAACACATCCCTGGCATCTCTTTGGACCTGGGTGTTTCAGACTTTATGCAGATTAGTTGCTTGATTACACTTAATTTTGATCGATCAAAGAAATTAACGATTGATCGACGGCACACCAGACAATATCTCACGGCACACTAGTGTGCCGCAGCACAGTGGTTGAAAAACGCTGCTTTATAAGAAGCAAGGTGCTGTGACATTTACAGGAGTTTGCTGGCCATTCCTACTTGATGTAGCAAAGGCTTGTAGACAAACACAGTGTCAGGAAAAGCAAGCACACAGTCATGCCCAAATATCTGAATGTCCCCTGGGGAGGTTAAGGTCGAGGTTTCACGCATGGATTTGGCTTGCGGCGTGTAACTCTGAGCGTAGGAATGCGTTGACTAATGTACACATGAGCGAGAATGAGGGTGCACTTGGCGCCTAGAGGCCTATTTAGACCTGAGGAGAGTTGCTGACTGATGGTCAGCTCCTGCCTCCTGTGACCTGACCTGCATGTTTCCTCCCTGTGCTTTGACCCAGCATTCCTGATTCTGCAATATGACCCCAACTTTTACCTTGACAAAGCACTCTGTTTACCACTTTTGTACCTCTGCTGTGCTGTCCTTTGTCAGACCTTGGCTTGTACTCAACTTTTGTTCCTTGCCTACTGCCTCTGTACCTCTGACACCCTGCTGTGTCTGACCCTGGCTTGTCTTCTGACCTCGCCGGCCTGCCTGACTTCCTGGTATGCTAACTTGCTGGCTGTTGCTGATCCTGGTCTCTGGTATTCTCCAGTTTTCAGACGAACCGCTGACACCTTCCTGCATCTGGGCCAGATGTAGGCACCTGTGACCACTCTGTGTCCTGCATATTCTGTCCCAACTCCAGGGGATGCTGGACAGGATGTGTAAAGAAAGCCCTCACATCCACCAGGTACGTGACAACCAAGGGCTGATACAGCTTTAAGAATTCACTTTGATGTACCCTATGTTGATGTAATTTTAATGGCGTTTGTTAGAACAAAGTCAGCTTCTTCAGAGGACAATGTATTTGATTTTCCTACATTTGGATAAGCATAAATATTTTATAATTAATTATTATGATATTTTCATTTAAAAATCAGCAATTATGTTTGATAACCATATAGTTCAGAATTGCACATATGCATACCAAATCTGGTTTGAAGATTTCCCATTAAAAGCCAGAGACATACACTTGAAGAAATTAAAAGAGAGTTAACCAGGGTTAAGTTATTGCCAGAATGCATTATTGCACTCCAGGAGGTATATACCTAGTTGCCTCCACTACACCCCCCCTTCACAAATTCCTAATCTACACCATGCCATAAATCTCCCTTACTGGATCTATCCCCTGAGCCCAATATAGAACACTTACCAATGAAAAGGTCATGGACAAAACTAGAGGAAAAAGGAGGAACAAAGAGTTTAATAAGTCTCCCCTCCAAACTCATCAACGCTAATCCCAAATTCATAGGAACAAAGTGACCCCATTTCATTCTTTACAACACTTTGGAGGCTACTTTGATCTTATTCATTTGCGATTTTTCGGTGTTCGGCGAACGCTCGAACATGCTATGTTCGAGTCGAACATAGGTTCGACTCGAACGCGAAGCTCATCCCTAATTAGCGCCAAGGATTTGGGATGGGGGAGACTTATCCAAATGTATTAGGATCAATGATCTATTTATACATATTCCCCTTTTAAGGGGAATTAAGAATTATATTTAAAGATTTTTATTAAGATTTATACTATGAACACCTGGAAAAAAATATTAATATGGAGTACATTCTTAAATTACTAAATTGAATTAAATGTAATTACATCAGTATGGCATACATTCCTAAATTTGTGTAAAATCGTCTGATTTACTAAGCAAAATTGATTATATTTGGATGTTTACCAGGAAAGGATGTAGTAAAAGCATGATCTTTTTGCATTTGTCTGCTTGTCTCATTGAGACTTTTCCATACGGTGACATTTTTTATTGGATTAATGTTTATTTCAGCTATATTCAATTAAATTATTTGATTCAAGTTTGATATAATTTTTTATCTCTATTAATATGTCTGGGTACCATTAAAGCCACATACACTTTGTACATATTATACACTTTCTGATGTTAATAAAGGTCTTGGTATTAAAATGTTACTTTTAGATGGTCTTGGCATATTCATTTAAATTTGGAGGTCGTAACATCTTTGCTAAATTGTTATTTTTCTTTACATTTTAAATGCACTGGTAAAAACATGATGATATATGTATGATGTGGACCTTACCCATAGCTGCAAGTCCCAAGTTCTTTGTAGTACTGAGACTCCAGTAAAGCCAAAAAAATCAGCTTAGGCTTAACAAACCTGTTTTTAAGCTTGAAGCAAAAAGAGGCTCAATGGGTAATAGGGCCATGATAAAGTCCCACATTAGTGTAATATGTTGTTATGTATTTCTGGTAAAGCTGCTTAAATCACTAATATTGTTTATATTTATGTACAAATATGTCACTTAAAAGCCCAACTCCAGCCCAATTTTTTTAAAGTTGTCTATACACTTGGGATTCGGGAAGAACAAATACTTCTGTTAAAAGGAGAACTATGGGGTTAGGGCTTTTCCCCATAGTTCTCCTAAGGGTAACGGGAGGACACAAACTAGCGTCCTCCCGTCACCCAAAGCTCAGTATACCACGAGCTACAGCCCGCGGTATACTGAGACGCCACAGCCGGAAAAGATTCCGACATTGCTGTCTGGATCCACCTAGCTGCGTGAGTGACCCCTCCCCCATCCGTTCCGCCAGTCATCGCTGGAGGATCATGGGAGGGAGCCGTGAGTGACAGTCGCGGCTCTCTGCAGGGATAGATTGAGAAGTGAGCGAACGACGGCATGTGTTCGCTCACTTCCCGAACTACTGAGCCGACCTGTGACAGTTTCATTGTCACAGGTCGTCTCAGATTATGAGGCTGAGGGAAAATCACTCGCCTCATAGTTCTCCTTTAAGAGTTTGTTTCTGCCTAAGGCTCCGTCTGGGAGATTTATTTAAACTTTCTGTCCCTGTATCAGTAAAGTAAGAAAATAACCTGTAGTTCTAACGTTTACCTGCTGGAGAGAATTTTCTTAATTCCTACCCCTGCAGGAAGTGAGGGGATTTCCTCTCAATGGGGACACTGATTACAATAAGAAGCTGGTATAATTTGAAAAAGAACTCACCTGTTGATAAAAATTCTTTAACTGACCATTGTCCAAAGACAAACCTACATTGCAACACATAGATATAAAAACATTTAAAAACCTACACAGGGCCCTATGTCCATATAGAAAAAAAGTCCTGCTGTAGTCTCTATAGGGTTGACCGAAGGATTTTTTTAATGAACAGGTTAGTGCACTGCTAGAGTTCTTTTTCCAATTATATCCTGTTTTCATAGATTATCTGAGACAATGGTGTGTTTGGCTAGCCACACAGTACTAACAACTTTTTGATATTTATATTGTATGTTGTGTGACATTCAAAACCACTTTTATTTTTTACCCATACTGCCTAAAACTTTAGACACTCATTGGATGGAGTTGAATTTAAGGTTGCTTTCAAAGCATGAGGTGATTTAATAAAGAATGTAAGTTTTATGCCATTCATGTGAGCTTGCATACTCCTAAAATACCAAACTAGCTTAAGGCAAAATTGATATAACCTTTTTTTAAAATTCCCTTTAACCCCAACTGGGTGTTTGGAATGAAAACAGGTTAATAGTTTTAAACGTTATTGTGTAAACCTTGCACTTATTATTAACCACTCCCTAGAAAATGGGCTTATTATGGTTAAAATCTTATATACAAAGGTAAAGAAAATAAACCAAGTATTAAACATGTAACAAACATGTATCAAACATGTATAAAACATGTATAAAACATGTAAAAGTCCCACTTGAATTGTAAATGTATGTGAAAGGACAGTTGGTATTTAATTTCCATGGTATTAATACAGTACAGTGCTTCAGTCATCTATCAATAACCAGTGGGTCGCTAAAGGGGGTTCATTAGATGTGAATGTTGTTAAATTCCTTTTCAACTTTTTTCGACTTCTTTAGCAATAGTAGAAAGCCCTTAAATTGTATACTAAATATTTATTTTCTTTAAAGTGAATCTTAGCCATACTAAACTGTTTCAAAGGTGACAGCAATGCTTAACTTTGTTAAGTATGCACCTATGTACCTGTGTTAATACTCAAATCAGTCCATGTGGAACCCCTTAAAATCTAGGCTGAAGTGGCACCTGTGACCTCCACCTTTGCCCAAGTTCCTCTGCTTCCTGGCACAATGCTTTACCTGAAGCATAGTGAAGCATAAAGCCAAGGAGAATAATGGTGCCACCATTCAACTGCCAAATGCTAGTATCTCACCTGCCCACTGAATTTCTGGTATTTGACAGTTGACTGACAGGTTTGTGGACAGATGTTGTGGCCCGTGTTCAGCCTGGGCCTAGGATCTACAGCACTCCATTTTAAGACTCACATGGGTACTTGCATGCTTCATAAGTTGCCTGTATTTCAGCACTCTTGTTACCTCTTGCGGATCATATCAGTTTGACCACACTTTTAGTTAGTGATGACTGTTTAACACAATGTACTAATGTGTATTGCATGGTTTATTTAAAAGAGTATTTTGAGCGCAGTGTGTGTGTGTTTGTTACCACAAGGGGAACCATTTTAGTGTGAGTGACATCTGTATGAAGGGTTTGGGAACTTATCTTCTCACTTGTATTGTCTGCAAAGAAAGGAGAACCTGGTTATCTAAGGAGCTTAGGTATCTTATCAACAGTGGGAATAGCAAGCGTCAGAATCGAAATAAGCATGCATGATAGCATTTGCCATGGTTTTATAGTATATTAACTGTGTAAAATATGTATTTTAAATTAGGGAGGATAATTAAACAGACAAACATTGTAGTGTGAAAACTGTAAGTCTAATGAAATCATGCCCTAGAAACTACATTTCGTTACTGACATTTTTTTACTGAGAATTAATTTCATGGAACTATACATCTAATTATGCTTTAAACTTTCATATTCCAATTTTTCTCTCACCGACTATAATACACTGAGAACACATCTTCCTCTAGAATTTTCTGTAACAGAATCTGGTCGAAGACTGGTGGGATGTTATCGATTGCCTGGCTTGGAAATCCCATTCCCAACACTCCATCAAAATGAGCAAAGATAAATGGAAATGCAGGGAGAGCTGTGGCCTCAGCAAAAACTTGAATAACAGGAATACTAGCAACCTGTAACAAAGGGGACAGACACAATAGGATGATTAGTCCGAGCCTTGGAATAACATAAGAGAAACAATACTGAAGCGGCATTACACAGCACTGCTATATCATTTATAGCCAAACTAGTGCCAAAATTAGATACGCACTTCTTCAGCACTTCAGGAAAAATATACAACTGCTGTAAATTGACTAAGAAAACCCCTCCCTGTGCTTCTCATTACATCCAGGGCCGGATTTACTCTCCCTGCTGCCCCAAGAATACTACGGTCCGCCGCCGGGACACCTTACGCAGGCGCCCACAACTTCCCCACAAGGTCACCGCTGCCGCCCCGAGGCCGGGCCTCGGTGGCCTTGTGAGAAATCCTGATTACATCACTATTAAATCATTAGTGATGGACTAATCTGCCCGGGTCCAATTTCATGAAGGTTTGGTAAATCTGGCTTGAAGTTTGGCAAACACAAGCTTTAGGGCAAGTCCAACAGAAATCAATAGGGGAAATATTCTGCTGTTTTCATTCTGGCAATTTTTGCCCAAATAAGCAAACTCTTGTAATACAAAAAAGGCATTTGGAGCTGTGCACTGCCATGGTGGACATGAAAGAAAGGAAAAAAATGTTTAAAGATACAATGTAGAGAACTGGCAGGTAGGTTTTCTCAGCAGACAATGTCTAGACCTGGGGAAATGGTCTCTCTATCTGAAGGTGTTTCTAGACATATATCTGCATTAGAGGACATTGGATGTGGATCTGCTGACACGTCAGTATCTTCTACCCTGCATCTCAGTCACTGACTGACAGCTTGACCTTGAAACCCAGGTTCTAAGACACAGAGGCATTCTGCTATCTCAACCTTGATCAAAGCTCATAAATCTACTTCCTTCAAGATTTATCATCAAATGCGGAAGCTTTGTTTTCACTGGGGTGAGAGACTTTGGGGTTTGCACACGTGCCTTTCGGTTGGACATGCACCTTTTTCCTTCAGTTGAGAGTAGAACAATAGTGCTTTATCTTAACTTTCTTTAAAAGGCCCCATGTGCTGCAGTCTGACACTGCTGGCAGGCATTAACTCCTGCAGTGCTTTGTATGTTGTGTTGTGTCTGACTAAAATTGGGTATACACATTTATATTTTCTGTTGTTCAACCTGCCAGCTGAATTAAGAAAATAGAACAGTTTCTTCTATTAACGCTTACGAGCATTGATTGAGGAATCTCCCACTATTTACATTCTGTATACATTTATTCTGACAGCAGCTGCTGAATACCCGAACAGAGCGAGCAGCTTGTTGGCTGCATGCTCTGTTCTGTCGAAAATTTTCCGACATGCTCCTTCAATCAGCTGTTTGAGGGATGCTGATCAGAAAGGTGCCAGCAACGGCACCCAAGCATCGAGTTTTAGCCAGTTCATCTTGTTCATCATCAAGAACCAGACGAAATTCTAAGCGTGTATACCCAGCTTTACTTGTGGACAGGATGAGAAACACAGAGAAGATTGGCAGGGCTGCAAAGCAAAATGAGAGAACCCATAAAATCACTCAAACCTCTAAACGGCATCAAAGCTGGGAACCATGGTGTGAATGAACAAAAGTTCTCTTGGTCATGTATACACATTCACTCTCATACAATCCCAGCAATTTGCATTGCCATTCATAATCATTTAGCAGACACATGCATTTATATAGACCAAAAAAATATAGATAAAGACTCACAACTACAACATCCTTGCTCAGGAACCCCCTGACCCTTCCTGATTCATACTGTATCGAAAATCCCGTTCCATTTTCAACGTAGGTGTAAGATTGGGAGGAGTCATAACGTTCATGGGACACTGTTATGGAAGAATAATTGTTTTTTTTAGCAATGATTGCACATTATTGCAAATAGAAGTATATATATTGTGTATGATAGGAATCAGTTTATTGTGGTAAATGTGTTATAAAAACAGTAAATAACAACATAGGAAATTCTGCATTATATTGAAATAAATGTATACTGTATATACTTTGAACCATCAAAACAGCTCTCAAAATATCATTTGGGAGTATGTTGATTAAGTAGTCAATGAACAATAAGTATAAAAAAAGTTTTATATATACCATATCAATAAATGTATTACATGCATGCACGTATGACCTTGAAAAAGAGACAATATCTATAAACAAGTTATAACATTCTAGGTCCTAATACATAAATGGTTGGTTGAGGGAATGTTGATCACATGCTACACAATGATGTCATAGCAGATAGGTAGAAATCTTAGTGAGCATGGAGCTATTTTTAGCCAGTTAAGAGTGTGGCAGTTGTGCTACTGTCTAATAAAAGGCAATGAATAATTATTGACATGGGGCCCTCAGGTTTCTTTCAGTGTTGCTACACGATGATGCCAAACAGCACAGGGACTCCTTTTCTTTATTTGAATAGGCTGACTGACAATTGAAGACATGTATGATTCTAATTACAGAAAAAAATTAGGTTAACCGCCTTCCGGCCAGCCGTTGTAGAAAAACGGCCGGCAGGGAGATTCCTGGATCTCAGTGGTTGTCTAAAGACAGCCTGTTGGCCCCACCCACTCACGCGCACCGAGCAGGAAACTGCCTAAATTTAAAAACAGGCAGAGATGCTTGTTTACATACAAGCAATCTGCCCGCTATAGAGCCAGCGGAACGCTTGTATAACGTGCAGTTCGTACGCCCGCGCCACCGTCAGCTGTCCCCCCCCGCAGGTCATGAGCTCCGCTGTGCCTGATGCGAGCCCAGGACCAGCACGGGCGCTCTGTGACAGGGGTTCAAAGGGAGATCGGTACACGATCTCCCTCCGGTCCCCTCTGCGGTGTCAGAATGTGGAAGTGATGTATTACATCACTTCCGCATTCTTGTGTCACTCTCCAGCTTCAGAAGCTGGAGAGAAACTGATGAAGCAGATCTCTGCTTCATCAGCTTCTTTGGGGGGCCCTAGGTGACATTAGGGGTCTTGGAGACCCCTAATGTCTCCATAAGGAGGACCTGTCACATCTTTTGCTATCACATAGAGGGTTTCTTAGCCCCCTATGTGATAACAATAACATAAAGTTGAAAAATAAAATAAAATTCACATGAAAAATAATTAAAAAAACAAAAATGTGTAAAGTCCCTACCCATACATACACGCATGCAAACATGCGTCGGGTGCGCATACATGCGAAAATGACAATTGCGCCCATTACGCCGCACGTGTTACATATTGCCGTGAACGTCGCAGTGAGAACAATAATTCTAGGGCCATTAATCAATGATAACACTAAACTGATGAGCAGTAAAAGCTTTTAAAAGCGTCAGCTATGGCCAATTTTGGGTATGGTAGTTTTTGCGATTTCGAGGTGCGCACAATTTTAAGGCTTGACATGTTTGGTGTCTATTTACCCAATGTGACCCCATCTTTTATATTTTACCCAAAAATTGGGTAATAATTGTTTCCTAACAATGTAAAAAAACAATTAATTAATTTTTCCTTAATATAGTAAAAAAGAAAAAAAAACGCAGTGGTGATTAAATACCACCAAAAGAAAGCTCTATCTGTCCCCCAATAAAAGGTATAAAAATAATTTCAGTATAGCGTTGCATGACGGAATAAATGTCAGTCAAAGAACTGCAGCGCTGAATACTGAAAAATGGCCTGGCCAGGAAGGGGGTGTAAACACCTGGTCATCAATTGGTTAATATTTGACTATGATTCAATCACTTGTAATCTTTTCTAGGGGTACCAAGAAATCTGTGCAGGCCATTTTAGAATATTTTTGTAGAATAAGCAATAATTTGTCACTTTTTACACTTTCTCTGCTTTACTCTATGACATACCAAAGGCATGCAGTATAAAGTTTATTTCTTTACATGTCTATGGCCCTGTCCCTTGGTATCCTTTTGCTAGGCAATGCCTGCCGCCTATTCCTCCCTCCTTGCCTCCCATTGGCCCTGTATGCCATGTGCCTGGAGCTTGAAATACGTTTCTCTACATGCCTCACTAGCTGTCATTTCTGAAAATGTATCCTGACCTGCCTTTTATTCTGCCACCTGGACTGACTTTTGCCTGTTATCTAACCATGTCTTGCCTACAACCTGGACCAACCCTTGCCTGTTTATTGAACATTTCTTCTGCCTGCCGTCTGGACCAACCTTTGCCTGTTTAGTAACCATGTCTTTGCCTGCTGCCTTGATCAACTCTTTGTCTGCTTATGGACCAATTGACCATGCCTGCTTTCTGGACCTACCCTGGCTTTGTGTTTACCTCACTACCAGCCTTCCTCAGTAGCTAAATTCTCATCCACTATCTCAGTCTGTTGTGCCATCTTGTACCGTCACCATTATCATTCACTATGCAGTTGAGTCACCTCCATCCTCAGCGGGAACCTGTACCACCTCTTGCAGTATCACAGGTACTTCCTTTGTTTCCTTTCCTTTTGCTCTGCTTCTTGTGTTACTTGGCCAGAGAAAATAGCATTGTCTATTAAGTTCTTGAGGACAACCAAGTACAACCGGGGCTGCTTCACTTTAGGGTGCAGGGGCTGCTATGCATGAAGCTACACTGGCAAACCATATTCTGCGACCATCTACACTGGAGTGAAAATTACATTACTTCAAGCCATAAGGTGTATCTGACCTAAGCACAACTATTTGTTGACAAGCTCTGCAAGCTTACATGAAAGGTCTAGGAACTTAGGCTCGCCCACTGGGGATATAGACCAGTCCAAGCAACAACTTTCTCTGAGCTTCCTGAACCTGAAGGTCCCATTTGCCATCTACACCTGGCAACACCTAAGTGAGCATTATACAAGGTTATGCTAATCCCCATATATGTTTTGCTATGTGCTATTTGCCCCAAGCCCCACCTAAGGCTCTTCATAGAAATCAATGTTTTTTAGCCTGTAGTGTCTTTATCTGATTCTTGTTTGCTACTTGCCTATTTGCATAGACCTTAGAAAGTCCTTCTTATATAACTCACTTTGCAGTAGCTTTAATATCCCCTGGCTGCACAATTGCTACAATAAAGTGAAGTTACAATAGAAAAAGTATCAAGACTTACCAAAGGATTCTGGAAGTTCAAAACTGAGCAAAGGATAACCGAGGTATGCTTCATAAAAAAATGTAAAATGTTATCTTTGCCTTGTTTGGGTTAGGGGCAAGAGGAGCCATTAGTATTATTGTTAGAGATTTTAAATGCACAATGACTTACCACATGCACTGTAAAGTGGAGAGCAATGATGAGATGGTACCCACAGGTTGGCAGATCCTGTATCAAATACAACCTTAAATGTCTGAGGAGGAGTACCAATACTGATTTCCCCAAAGTATTGAGTCTGTAACAATAAAAAACAAATATCTTAATTTGTCTGCACTCCTAACATGGATTGTTAACTGAAATATTCCTACAAAAAATTGCCAAATCAAAGTTTACCAAAGCCCAAAATAAAATAAAATGAATTCATTAAAATCAATACAATCCGTTTAACGATAACATGAAAAAAAACAACAACTTTTGCTGCAATACTTACCTTTGCTCCGAAGCGGTACCCTGCAGTATTAGTTTTCCACCACTTTATGTCTTCAGCCTTCTGGGTTGAATGATAGTCAACATTATTCAACCCACTTCCTCTAAGCCTAGGCCAACATGGGTGTGCCCACAGCCTATGAATCGACAGTGAAGCAGAAGCAGCCCAGTGATGAGCTCAGCTTTCTGTCACTCTGCTCTCACCTCCTATTAACATACTTCTTGTCAGCACATAAAAACTGACTAGTTTCTTTGTACTTCTTGTTCCTCTCACTTGGAGCTCTGCTGTACAGGGACTGCAAGAGGCTGATACCATGCTAAAATGTAGGCAGCTATGCTGTTTGCATTTTAAATTGCATTATTGATGTATTAATGATTACAGAGCTGCATTAATTTGTGCCTATTATATCTGCTCTAGAGTTCAGCTTTTTAGTGTGACAACTGCATACATCTCCTGATGTGTATTAAAAATTCACAGTACTTTCAGAAATGTCACCTCTATGTCTTATAAATTACAATGACCTCTCATGCTGGCAACTTCCAACTAATTTGTTCCAGAAAAACATAACATTAGTCACTAGAATTTTTAGAAGGTCAACACAGATGCTAAGCTGGATTTCTGTTTCCATTGTGCCACCTCTCTTGTACCTCACTCTAGTCGTTAAGTATCCACAAACAGATATGTGTTGGTAGCTGGTTTTACATGCTACTGAAATATGGTATATGGGTGGATAAGGACACTGATTTTACATTCACAATTTGGCCATCAAACAATTTACAAAATTGTTGTACAGACATGAATATTTCTTAGTGCATGAACGGCATGTTTTGACCTATGGAGGAAAATTGAAAAAAAGCCTGAATTTATGCATGGCCAACATAGGTCTTGGCTTAGGGTAGCAAGGCTGTCGGGCATGGCAGACAGCCACCCAGAGGTCATGTTGCTGACTGGGTCTGTACACCTAAAACCAAACTGCTAGCAGAATTAGTTGCCAGTCTGCCCAACTCTTTTAGTTCTAGATGTATGATGACAGAACAAGTAAATGTCTCTTTGATCATCTCCATTACCAGCCTCAGGGTGCCATGTGTGGCTATGACCTCTGGACCTGTTAGGGTGGTATTAAAGTGTAGCCAACCAATGGTAGTAGTAGACAAGAAGGATTCAGAAAGCTGGCCTATGTTGGAAAGACGTATGAATCTGACTGTATGGGGAGTTATCTGGTGTCAGCATATATAAAATGACACCTGTTCCCAGACTATGGACATTCAATGTTTTACAAATTCATAACAAGCAGCAAAGAAGACTTAAAAACAAACCCTCATTGACCTCTTAAACTGTAGAGTTTGCGGGAGCCAAAATGTGATGTCACTTCGTTCCAGGCACCTTTATAGGACATGTGAGGGAGCTGTAAGCAATGCACGTATGGATGGAACTCCTTCGCATCCAGAGCCCCATCTCATCCCACCTCAAGATGACACTCGGCGCCGGGCAGCATATTTTGAATGGCTGCTTGGATAGAGATCTGACAGTGATGCGTTAAGGGGAGGCAGAGGAGCCTCTCACCTAGAAAAGTGGAAGACATGTGGCAACCCCATGAACATGGGGTCACGACCCACCAGTTGAGAACCAAGGGTTTAGACCATTTCTATTTTCTAGTCATCAGACTTTCTAGTTATCTCTGTTAAGTAAGCATTACAATGTCTGCAGAGTAAGAAGCTCATACAGTAGTACTGTATGAGCTGCTACAAAAAGGGTGAAAAAACCCTATTTGAAAATTGCCTAACATGCCCTATATTCACAGACAAACAAGATAGAACACCACTATTGTTGCAAATTCAAATAGCAGTAGATATATTTTGCTCACATCTAGATAGTTGGTGAGAAACGTTGGTAGTGTTTTATTTTTAGAATCATTTCCCCCCAATTGCTTCAGCTTCATTTCTGGAAAAACATCTGCTACTTTCACCCGCATGGCTTGTAGTGTTTCCCGAATTGATGGCATTTTACGGAGTGGAATCCTATATCAAAGGGAAAAAAAGCTTGTCAATATCCCATCCTTACTGAACAATATCAGTGCCATCTTATATTTTGTGAATTAAAACAAATGTTTGATTAAAAAGGCAGCATAGCACCATTGATTTATTTAAAATTCTGCGCTACCCTACCCTACACCTAAATTTGTGTGTAAATGGCTGCTATACTCCTTGTACAGTACAGTATAAAAATAACAATAAACTTAACCCCATATAGTACAGCACTTACTATTAAATAAATACTGTATATCATTTACAATAAACGTATCCTATGAAAAACAACCATGCATTCATTAGTGCAATATAAATATAAAATAAAATACATAAACATAAAATACAGTACAATAAATGCAATAATGAATATTTTCCCTTAGCAACCACTATAAAGTAATACATGTTCAATAAAACATGCCCAATGTGCTGCAAAGTGTACAAATGTAGCAATAAAAGCAATCCTAGTGAATATAATAATGCAGCTTGGCCCGCATGCTGATGCACACAGGTTCCAAACACAGTGGGAGGAATTTACCAAAACTCACATCTCCATCCCGCTCAGATGTTTCCTCAATCAAGCACCAAGGTTCAGATAAACACAGAAGAGAATTTGCAATAGTGTACCATCTTTTTTATAAAACCATATAAAAAAACACTTAAATGAGCTGAGCCCAGCACTTGCAAAATTGTACTCAGACTCTGTCTGCTGCCCCCCATCTGTCACAGTAAATGTAAATGGAATGATCTAACAAAGCCCCGTCCGATGCATTTTAACACTTCTGAACTTCCTCAAGAGCATAATGGCATTGTTTTTTTTAATTTCAAACCAGCTTTATTGAAAGTCAGGAGAGAAAGTATGAAAGGAAAAAAAAGAGCAGCGAGAGGGTGAAGGGGTAAAGTAGGCAACAGAGCAGAAACAAAAAAGGGAGTGAGGGGAAAGCAGAGGGGGAAAAAAGAAAATGCTGGGTCCGGGATACACATCTGGCATTACAGAACAGCTAGGGGAGATTCAGAGTGAGAGTTCCGGAAGGGCTGTCAGTCATGACCAGTAAATAAGTATCAGTAGTTTGAAAGAAGGGCCACGGTCTCCAGGTGTCTCAGAATCTTTCTTCAGTGTTTCTCAGAGTGAAGGTCAAATCCTCCATCTGATAAATCTCATCAAGCTTGTAAAACCTCAAGCGAAGACTAGAAGGATGCGGTTGTTTCCACAATAAAGGAATGCAAGTGCGTGCAGCATTCAATAGGTGTCTAGTCAGGGACTTTTTATACTTTGCAACATATTTGACAAATTAAGTAAACATGCGGCAGGGTTATCGATCAAGTCTACCATCACCAAGGGTCAAGGGAGAGGGGAACGGAAAAAGGTCAGTGGACCTAAATAATGGCATGGCAAGCAAAATAGTGGGGGCAATCGTGGGATGGACTTGCAGAGCGGGCGATAATAATGCGGAGAGCCAAGGTAAGCCCGCAAGACAACACTGTAACGGATTC